CATAATTATGCCTTGCATTAAGAGCAACCATAAGTAAGTTTCGGCACTGCCTATGCACAAAAATAAATTCATTTTTATGTACGCCGATGATTAAATTGTAACCTAACCTTTTTTACGGTGCAGTCCGACTATTATCGGTTTTTATTTTCAACTCAAGTGCAATTCGACTAAAATAAGCGCAATTCAATCTTACCCTTATCCATCATTAGTCCCGTCGCCCTTGTTCAAATAGTTTTTTTTCGGTCTATATCGTATATTATTATTATTACTATAGCGAACGGAATCGTATTTTAAGGCTAATGATTTAAACGGTGACTGAACTTATCAGTTTCAATCATTTTTAAGACTAAAGTGAAGACTTCATTTTTTTTATTTAATTAAAGTTCTAGTTAAAGAAATATACATTTATAATTACAGAATCGTCCTGCTGGGGGTGGAGGCCAAGAAACGCAAGTCCGCGTTGGAGCAGGCGCGGATTGAAAACACGTTGTTGATACGGCAGATAAACGATCTTTATGCGCGCGAGCAGTAGTCTAAAAACGAAATACGCCTGTTAGAGGGGAAAATCTAAAGGTTGAACCTCCGGGAGAAGGACAGCGAAACGTCCGCGATTGCCCCCGTAAACACCAATCCGCTATATTGTACAATTGAGCCGCCGAGTCTTGCGCCCGAACTTGATGGATTGTCTCACGACGACTTAGGTACATATACCCACAAACACACGTGCGCGAGAATAATCAAAAATTTGGAATTCGTTAAAACAGTGGGGGAAAAAAAAATGTGTCGTCCTATTAATAATTTATTGTCTATATATTACATAGACGAAGAAACCTTAAAAATAAAAATTCTTACAAGGAAGAAAAAGTCTGATTAAATAATCATTTGGAAGAATACACATAATATTATAATAAAGAATATACACATTAACCAGACAAAACGCCGTGCAAAGTAATAAACATCAGTATTTATAATTTATAGTAATAATGATAATAATTATTACTAATATTGTAATAATCATACGAGCAAACTAATACAACATAATTTACTATAGACGTCTCAATAACTTTGTAATGATTCAAGTTTTCTACCAGAAAACTTACTCCGATTTATACGATGTAGACCCTTTCTGAAAGACAATTTTCTTGGTGTGGTACTTTAGGGAGGTCATTTTTCGATTTTCCTAAGAATTTTCCTACCAAATGTAAAAAAAACATGAAACATTTATACATCCATTCTTAAATTTAGGTAACTAATAAAATAAAATAAATAAAAACATTCAATTTATACTCGAAATACAAATGAATAATAAATTAAATTTCTTAGATCTTAAAGTTTCCATAATTAACAATAAATTTGATTTTAGTGTTTACAGGAAACCTACACAAACTGATGCCATAATACCATATGATTCTAATCATCCTTATTCTCAACAAATATCATTATTTAATTCAATATTTTTTAGGCTTGAACGTATTCCATTAAATAAACATAATTATCACTACGAGCTCAATATTATTTAAAATATAGCTCATTGAAATATTTTAAATTTAAATACTATTAAAAAAATTCATACACGTATCAAAAAAAAAAAAAAAACACAACTCACCGAATAATGTTGTTAACTATTGTAGTATGAAATATCAAAATAAAATGTCTAACGAATTCACTAAAATTCTGAATAATCATACAAACAATGTAAAAATCGCTTTTAAGACTAATAATAATTTAATCAAAAATGTAAGCAACAGAACTAAAAACTTTATAAAAAACCACCTTCTTTTGAAAATGCTAGTATATATAAACTTAAATGTAACTGTAATAAATTGTACATAGCTAATAGTGTTGTTAATAGTACAGTAATGTTGAGTATACCAAAATAACATTGAATGATTCAAACGAATCAACTAATTAAGGTTAGGGTAGTTTAAATAATTATATTGTTAATAATTATATGTATTCATATTTTTTTGTTTTTAAAATAAATATTTGAATTTTTTTTAATAATTTTAGACAATGAAAAATGTTACAGTAAATTTCAATTTATTTTTAATTTGTTAGGTTTTCATTTGCATCACCCGGGCCAAGAGAACTTTATTGGATTGCTAAGTTTTGAAAAATAAATATTAATATTTAATATATTTAAAAAAAAATCCTTTACAGTAACAACTGGAGTCTTATTGTCGATGACCTAAATAAAAACATTTCAGATTATTAATTAAATTAATCAAAATTAAAAAACCGAAAAAAAACCCCGAATATTAAACAAAAACAAATTAAAAAAAAAAGGATGTCCTAGGATAATGGGGACGGGAGCAGCCACTTTTAAAGGAAATTTAATGTGTACTTGAAAAAACGATTCTGAGCAGAGTTCAGTTGATAGTGATGCTTTGTCAACAATATATATGCCATATTATAGTAAAATAATTGAATGGGCTCTATATATTTTCTTTAATAATATTTGTTTAATGTTGTACCGATTTCCCTATGTTTTTCCTAGTTTTTCACATTTGTTGACAAAACTCCGGAGAAAATCGAAAAATAGTCTATTTAAAGTACATCCCCTGTGAATCGTTTTTAGAAAAATTGCTACTATTATAAGTTGGAGCAAAGCTGCTGGTAGAAAAATTGTCCACAGGTAAAAAGAAGGTACATAATATTTTTAGGTAATACCTAAATTTCTTACATTTTTCCGTTTTTTTTTTCGGTTTTTCACATTTGTTGAGAAATATTCGGAGAAAATCGAAAAATGACATCTTTAAAGAATCCAGTGAAATTTGTTTTCAGAAAAGGTGCTATACGTAGAAATCTGAGCAAGTATGGTAGTAGTCCTATGGTAGAAAAGTTGTCCATAGAAAAAAAAAAAACGTAAAACCATAAGTTTCTTCGCTCCACTCAGAGTCTAAAAAGCACAAAAAAGTTGAGTGTATTGTAGTTTTTATAACCTTTTTTAAGTTGAAATTTAAACGAACATTTTAAAACACACGAAATTTCAAAACGGGTTTAATCGAACTAAGCTCAGAATTCTTTTTTGTTGGGAATGATTTATTGTTGTGTGGAGATAAATGTATATAAGTTAAATCATTTTATGTAATTTACAACAGTGGTAGGGCTTGATTTACCAATTCATGGGCTTAGTATAATCTACGATTTTGTGTCCTAAATTGTCCATCTCTAATATCTTCAATACTAAAATAAAAATTTGTACTTATGCATAATATATTTTTGAATTAATGTTGTAGGCCATCAGTGGCTTATATAAGGTGTCTTACGATGATCTGTTACTTGAAATAGCTATTGTTTTATTCAATATTTTTGATTTGATTTTTTTTTTAAATTATTGGTATGCCACTGCACTACAGTTTATATATGAACATTTCTTTTTTTAGGGAGAGGGGGACTTAAATTAAAAAATATTATTAAAATTTTTTTTAAAAAAATTCAAATTAGTAATTTTGTAAAATTGATTTTTAGAATATTTTTGGTAAAATCTTTTATTAAAGTACGGTCTTTTATTTTTTTATGATTTTTTTGTTTAATCATAACAATATTGTTTATCGACAAAAATGACCATTATTGAGTTACATTTTTTTACTGTCTGGATTACCATTTAGATAAAATTTACTTTCAAAAAAGGTGCTACAATTGATATATCAGATTAAGATTTCTAGTGGAAAAGTTTGCACAACAAATCGAGGGGTGAGTTTCGGTTAAAATAGTCTGAGCGAGCGATGGCTTTAGTGGCCGTGGCATAGTTGAGAATGTTTTTAGAAGGGATATCAAAATAAATCTTCATGGTTATCTTATAGGAGGTTAGCCCCACTTAACCCCCTCCATTACTAAAATTTAATAACTCATCACCAGAGCTCGGGAGTTTTCTATTAAATGGTATGTCTGCGTTTTTAAAATTGCAACGTCCTAATCACGTTCGATGTATGTAAAGCCTAAAGTGAAATTTACTATTTATTTTCAAATAAACTATTAAGAATTTTGCTTACTTAGTATAATAATAAACTATGAATAATTGGATACCTACAAATATAATTAAACATGTAATTATTTAATTTCAATTTGTATAAAATAACAATATACTATATTAATACGGCTTATCGGAGATCTATCCCACATATCTCCCCCCCCGTAATTACGCCCCTGAATAGCTTGGGTTTCTATGGTGTAGGTAAAATATGGTATGGTATTGGTAAGGTTTTTTCCCTGTTTAGGTGAAAGGGAAAAAAAAACAAATGTAAACAATTTTTTTCGGAGTTCGGGTTTGAACCCGCAATCCCTAGGATGACAATTGGTATGTATTACCGCAAGATTACGACAGACATATATTAAAATTGACCATATTTATGTTTAATTAATTAGCGTAATATATAATGTCAGAACTTAAAAAAGATATAATTATGATACAAAGTCAGTCCGCCAAATTCTGACTTCTTCTTAGTTCTTAAATCAGCAATATAGATGCATGAAAAACAAAAAAATGTATAAATTCGATTTGTTCCACATAGGTTTTTACTACAACGATTTTCGTCAAAATTTGATATTAAAATTTCTTTATAAAAAAAAATAAATACTAAATTAAGCTCAAATTAAAGAAATTTTAAATTTAAAACCATTAAAATTAAAATGTTATTGGTATAATTCAACATTTCAGCATAACTTTTTGACATAAAATACTTTTTAAAATAGATTTTTGAAGAAGCGGCCAACCGGAAAAACTCCCGAATACCCGGTGGCACATCCATTAACAGTATTGGCTTTTTTTCCGTTTAAATATTACAAAAATTACGTAAATTTATTCGTGTAACTGTATTTGTATATATTTTTATTTTTTTTTTTAGTTCCTCTCGATGAATAGTTCACAAAATGCATATAATATTATACTATAACGAACAAAACACGGACGTACAAAAAAAAAAATAAAAAAAAAAATATATATATATATATATATATTTATATATTGTATACAATAATATGTAAATATGTATAATTTCGTTGTACTCCTCTTGTATAAATTTATATATACATATATTTTGCATATTATCTACATGTTAAATATCATCAATAACTATATAACAAATACATTATTATTATTTTTTTTTATAACTATAATATTATTTAATAACATAACGCACGAATGAACTTAAAGTATAGACTCGCATAAACGTATATAATATAATAATATGTATATAGATATCTAATATAATATATTTATAGATAGTTACAAATTACATAGGTATAACAATAATGTATAGATATATAGTAGATACACCGTTTGACATTTAACTAGGTATATTATTATTATTATTATTATTATACAACAATATACATGTGTAGCATAAAAAAATATCGTAACATACATATACAGATTTGACAAATCAACAATATAATATACGAACGGTTTATAACAATCTATAATCTCGTAAACGGGTTGTAATAATATGGAATTATTTGAGCTTTGCGCACGTTTATTATACGCGTACGCATAATAATATTTTAGTTTGTTGTAGTCGTACACGGGACTACGAGAACCGCGAGAACATATAATATCATAATTTCGTTTAATATATAATATCAAACAATAACGAAACGAAAAAAAAAAAATTAAAAAAAAACAAAAAAAACCGAACGATTTCGCGTTAAAATATCATTGTATTTCCGTCTAACAAGCATAAAAATTCAATTAGAAAATAACACGGTCTATATTATTTAAGAGCGTGATGTAATATTATTTTAGCAATAATGAAAATATTCATATATTTTGTCGGTATATATTTTCATATATTTTTTTATTTTATTAGTGCGGACTCAGGGTTGGGCAGTACCTTAAATTATCTTAGGTACCTTGTAAATAACTTGTATCTTGTTTTGTATAATTATTATTGTATTGAAATTTGTACGAGTAACAATATGTAGAAATTCATTTTGAAGTATCATGCCTACAGGTGCCCGAAGGGAAGGGGTGCAAGCTGGGTCATTTACCCTCTGGCTTTCCGAAAAATACATTAAACATCGAAAGTGATTGTACGAAAATAGAGAGGAATTGTAAGGGGTTTCGAAAAAAAAAATTCAAATAAATACCACCGCATCTGTATTAAGATACGGTATGTTTGGAAATTTTGAGGGTGCGTGAAATATTGGAAAATATTTTGTCGGAACCGTTTTTCTTCGGAAAAATAATTCATCGGAAAATACATTGTCGGAACCGTATTTTGTCAGAAAATAATTTTTACCTAACGACGATAACATATAGTCTAGTAGTACTCATGATGAAATTATATTGAACATTTAATTTTGATGTATCAGATATCGAGTACCTGGTACTTAAATACATGACCTAAGTATTTAATATACTGTATTGAAATACAATATATTATATAAGTATCTTTAGTACATTATTAGTATCTTTTGGCTATCTTGTATCTAAATACTGAATATTAATGTATCTATAAATATTTATTTTCAAGTATCTTCCCCGTCCCTGAGTGCGGTGCGTTAAAACATTTTGAGATTACCTAGTTAATATTATTATAAACTAATAAATGAACAACTCAATGCTGCATCAGGTGACCGCTGTTTTTTAACAGTGAGTTCGATACGCTTTACAAAATATTTTTTTTTCATGTGAGGTATACATTTTCACAATTTTATAATTTATGAGTCATTTATGTTTTATAGCAATATTATATTATTGTATATACAATAGACAGAAAAAAAAAAAATTAATATTCACCGATAGAGAAACCACGGACCCTCGACATGAATATCGCGGAACCCCAGGGGGCTACGGACCACAGTTTAAGAATGGCTGATTTATAGCATTACACACGTAGTAATAATATTATCTATTATCATTATTGATTTAACATATTATAAATAGGTGTCTTCGACTGTAATACATTTATTTGTCAGACAAAGTCACATATTTTCATATCATGATTCGTGTATTATATACCGACTTGGTCGATGGTCGCAAAACAAAATATTTAATACGGTTTAGTGCCTAGGACCGAATTTTTAACAGTATTATAATAATATAGAGAAGCCTGCGATGCCGATTAAATGGTTTTGTAATAGGGGGGGGGGATAATTTTTAAGAATTATTATTATTTATATAATATTTTTATAGCTATAAAGATCTAATATAATATTATACAGTGTGATTTTTAAGCATGTTCACCTCATTTGTATGGTTAAATTATGTAATTTAAATTCTGATTTTTCTCAATATTTAAGGAGTATCCTGTGGCGATAACGAGTTTGGTTTTTCAAATAAGAACTTTTATGTTTTAATGTTAATCAGATGATTTTTCTGAAAATTTTGACTTATTGTAATCGAAATTTGAATAGAAAAGTTTCTGAGATATTCTGTTTTAAATATTACTTCATGACCACTATGAATTAGTTGGTATCTAACCCTTATAAAAGGCTATTACCTATTCTTAGTATTTAAAACACAATAACTCAGAAACTTTTCTTTCATATTTCGATTACAATATTTCAACGTTTTCATAAATATCACCTGATTGACAATTCATATTAAAATATTTACTTGTAGTTTCTCTCTGGAAAAACGAAAGTTGTTGTCACTATAGAATATTTCTTAAATATGTAAAATTTAAGTAGGTATGCAAAAATATCGTTTTTTTTACTACATTTAAAAATTTGTATTTACGCATAATATAACCATATAAATGGGACAATCAGGCCTAAAAATTTATCTTGTATATTATTACAAATATTTCAGAGATATGAGGTAATGGGGTAATATTCCCCCCTCCCCCCACGTTCGACCGCCCCTGAAAGAAGTTGTAAAAATTATAATTAATTTTAATACTTCGATTTGATGAGGTACATTTTTACAAAACCGAATAAACACAAGGACGCACGCCGTGATCATAATATGCGCGCAAGTTCAAATTGGAAATATTCATAAATTTGTCGGAATGTTTTAATCAAGTAATCAATATCGTATGTTATCCCATAAATAGTATGAAGTATTCAATAGACTCACATTATTTTTTAATTTTTTTTTCAAGTAACACTTCTGTCATATTATTATCTATTTAGTTATTTATTATTATATTAGGCCTGGCCTAATAATTGGATAATAATGGCTTTAATCTAATAATTCCAATCGTCTCGTTTATTCGAATGTTATTATTGAGGAAGGTATCTAACATAATTAGAGACGTAAGTATAGATAATTTATGGTGGAGGGGTTTAATGTCATTAATATTAATTATTTTCTAATAGAAATAAATTGGGAGTTGAAAACGAATTGAATTTCTGTAGTAATTTTGAAACGGGAGAAGTTTTATCCCATCCTCTTACTTACGTCCTTGCCTACAAATTAAATAATAATTTAACAATCTTATATTAAAAAAAAATTGTATTATTCGATTTTCGAAAACAAACACAAAGTTGACCAAGGAATAATAAGATCTAAAATATAAAACTAGGTATTACATAACTTTTGAAAATTTAAGTTGATGGTAAATACTATATAATCGACTTATTTACTAAATATTATATTTGATACAGGTATTTTTTCAATTTTAAAACTGTTAAGGAATAAAAGTTTCAATATGCATAGGTCAGGATCATTCTACAGGTAGATATCCAACAACACTATAATTTTACCGATATTATACACTACAGATGAGAATACCTATTATCTATATAGGTAATTTTCCGGAAAAAAATAAACAATATTTTGATTAAATCAGTCAACATAATTTGGTAGGTAACTATAGTTAATATCTTAAACATGTAACTAACTGAGAGAGCCCGTGGAAAAAGAAGACAAATTAATTTTTTTAAATTTATCTGGAAATAAAAAAACAGTGTTCACAATAAAACTGTTATTTTTAAATTCAATTTTTACCAGTTTTTTCAAGCTATTTATAGAATTATAAGCTATATTTTTTTAAGTTATCTTGTGTTAGTTCAGAATTTTGTTGAATCTCGTTAGAACTTATCTATAGATATTTACGAATGATTGAATTCGTTTTGTTTAATTGCACCAAAATTATATGAGAAGAATTACTGTCTCTAACAGAAATCATCAAAACATGGATTTTGCCGACAAGTGAAATTATATTGTTTTTGTACGGGTTCTTTCTTCTAGCCTTACGACATAACGAAAGTGAATATTTATTTTTGGCGTTTTGCTGTTGAGATATTTGTCTCGCAATATTAATATTATTAGGCAATAAATCAACAAAGTACCTAAAAACACTAGACTGCCAAACGTTAAAAATGTTATTTTATTCTTTTATGTTTTTTTCGTTCTATCCCGAATCGATGGATATTTATAACTCTTTTACATATAATACTTCTTGGGAATAAGAATGCAAATTTTGTAATATCATAGGTATTTATACTTGTACGGTTGTATCCTTATAATTATACACTCTTGTATATATTATAATGTATCAGACAGGTGAAAATAAAAAAAAAACGTATTAAGATAGTTAAATTAATTTTTTTTCCTTTTTCTATTCAACAAAAGTGTCATAATTTATATAAGTGCGGATATGGGAAAGGTATGATTTATTATTACCTATCGTTGAAAAGAAAAAAAATATTCTGGTTATCGCTTTGTATGTATTAGAAGTAGCTCAAAAGTACATAATAACAATATAAGTGGTATCTTCATGAATATATTATATAGTTCACAACAGTGGTGAAACAAATGTGGTCCTTGAAAAGCGGTTGTTTCTCGATTTTTTTGAATGATTTGAGATGAGTGCTTATTATGAAAATAACTAAATATTAATGTTTGTTTACTACGAATTTAGTGAATTCAGTAGAATTAGGTGAAAACATAGGGATGTATTGGGACAATAGGGAAATATTGGTGGGTGAGTACTGGGTACTGGGTAGATTAATATTATTATTTTAGGTTTGTTACGCCATCGGTTCACAAAAAAAAAAGGAGATCCGCATTTACTATTCTACCCTATTCATAAATATTATAGAAAAGATTTATTAAGTTCTTATTCGAGCACTGCAGTGCGGTTTATAATTGGATTTTTTTTTCAGTGTTTAGTTATATATTTAAAAAACAAAATTCGATACGATTATTATGGTCGTATTAATTTTCTCACATAAAAACCTTATGAAATGTAAACAATTTTCATGTTATATTTTTAAATTAGGTACATATTATATTTACAGGGAATTAAAGCCCTAAAAAATTAAGAATTATTTTTTTTCATGTGAATGTTTTTTATACACTTAATAATACTATATAGGGCATATATATATATATATATACTCACCTATATACAGATGTATGTATATTATAGTATATAGGTATTTGTTCGAAGTGTTTTACGCTATTCCCAAACAAATAAACAAACGGATAAATCAAACAAGTTTAAAATGGCATTTTCGTGTTCGACGAAAGTTAAGGTACATTTTTTTCGTTCTATTAATACGTGTATGCATATATATATATTTATGTGTGTATGTATATACACACACAATATACACATGTACATGTTTGGTTTAGTTTAGTTTAGTTTTTTTTTTTTGTTAATCGTCAGACTACCCTCAACATTTTTTGCCAACCTCGATCCGTACACCTGTATACGATAATAGGTACTTAATGTATAAATAATATACGTATAGGTATTTAAAACAATAATTATTGGCGTAATCGATTAGGTGTGGGTTTTTTGCCGTTTCCCCTTCTCCGAATCGTCCATCAGTTTCAATAATATCAACACACTAAATTAGAAAAATATGGTTTACATCAAGCGGAAGCGTACGGATCGAGGAAGTGAGGCCGTCCGTCGGCTAAACATCAGGTGGATTTGAGTTTACGGCGTCTTCGAGCCCAAGAATTTTTGGGCACGTTAAACGATCTCCTGGTCGCGTAAGTGCCGAACACCGCCGATTGGCCTGACGAAGAGGTAGAGTCGTTTTCAACGTTCAAACCCTGTCGATCCTCGTATTTTGAATCCGTTCTGGAAAAAAAAAACCATCACGGTAAGGTTATTTTTGGAATATAATGAGAGAGTTTAGCATCCTCTTAAGATAAAATATTTTTTATCGAAGACGACCTTGACTGGTCGTCCATGAACCTACAAAAAGTTGACATAAACGTAATTTGGAGGTTCGTCAGGTGGTTTAGAATTGGGTTATAATTAGGAGTGACCGCGCTCCTAAAGGACCATACTTCCGACCTGTGATCGAAAAAATTTCCAAAATCTCTAATTTTTATCTATCTTCTACATTAATTTACAATGTTCTTGTACCAATAGATTTTTGTTTCCAAGTGTTACAAGGTTATAAATCGATTAACTCAAATGCTTCCAATAACTTCTAATACAACCAATAAAAATAAAAATAAATTAAATTCTTTTTTCTCGCGTACTATTGACATTTGGCTAACGTGTCACTTTTGGAAGATGTGCTATAGGTTTGCCACCCATGCCATATAGCGAACAATTACATATTGAAAATAATAATAAAAAAGACGTCCTAGGACAATGGAGATGGGTGCAGTCGCTGTTATAGGGATATTAACATATATCTGTAAGGAACGATACACCATAGCTAATGAAAAAATGATTCTGAGCGCAGTTCAGTTGATAGTGATACTTTGTTAACAATATATATATGTGATATTGTAGTAAAATAATTAAATAGGCATTATATATTTTCTCTAATAATATTTGTATAATATTGTATCGATTTTCTCGTTTTCCTGCATTTTTCCCGGTTTTCCCATGTTTTTTCTTGGATTATCACATTTGCTCAGAAAATTAAACTCCTTAAAGTATCTTTCCAGTTAGAATTACTTTCAAAGTACTATCATTGTAAATCGGAGCAAAATTGATAGTAGAAAATTTGTAAACAGAAAAAAAAGGCCATAATATTTTTTACTAAAAGCTACATTTCGTACATTTTCCGTTTTCCCGACATTTTATCCAGGTTTTTCTTAGTTATTATGAAAACCGATTGAAAAATCACTAAAATGACCTACTTAAACCACAGAGATAAAATTTCCTTTTCAGAAAATAGGCTACACTTGATACATGGGAGCAAGATTTCTGGTAGAGTTTGCACAACAAATCAAGGGGTAATTTTCGTTTATAATCTTCCGAGCGAGCAATAGCTAAATCTCTAAGTACAATTAAAATTAATTTGTTTTTTTCTTATTTCTATAAAAGGGGAACAAAGTGCAAAAATTTCTTTTCAAACCAGTGACCTCTAGTATGGTAATACGTATTCATGACTATTTGACTACAACAAACGTATAATAATGAAGCCAATACAGAGTTATTTAACATAAACATAAATAATACTATAAATATAAGTAATACTATAAAAAAATAAATATAATAATAAACTGCATAGTATCTGAACTTCAAAAAGGTACAATTTCGAAACTTAGTCAGTCTGCTCAATTCTGAGTTTACCATCCTTCTTAAATCAGCAATACATATATGTTCAAAAAAAAAAAAAAAAATTGAAAAATTAGAATTGTTTCACATAATTTTTACCCAAATAATTTTCGTCAAAATGTAGTATCAAAATTCCTATATAAAAATAAATACCATATAAGACTCAAATTTTTTTAACCACTAAGTAAGATTTAATGAACCCCATGTTAAACTTTCAAGCATTTCTGTTAAGTCTTACAATTTTACCACAGAGTACCTACCGAATAAAAATTACGTACAAATTCGCAAAATTAAAAAATATCTTTAAATAGTTCAAAAATGGCTTAAATTTTTTAAAAACTTTACTACGTCTAGAAATGGCAAATATAAATTTTCTGTCCGAATTTCAAGTCCATAGGCTTGATACGAATATTTATAACTGAATTTCAACAAAAAAATTAAATTTTTTTTATAAAGCATAAAAATAGCTTAAATGTTTTAAAAATTTTACCATGTCTAAAAAAGGTAAATGTTTAAATTTCAAGTCTACGAATATTTTTAACTGAATTAGAACAAATAAGAAAATTGATAAAATAATAAAAGCATTCATTTCGTAAATTTCCCGTTTTTCTTACGTTTTGTCCTGGTTTTTCCCTGTGCGTGCGTGTATATCTGAGCAAGATATATGGTCGGATTTTTTTACACAGGATAAAAAAAAAATAAACATCTCAGTAAAACCAATACATTCTTCGTAACGCTCATAATATCAAACTTAAAATCATAATATGAATTCCAGTGAGACTTTGAATATTTTAAATAATTCATATTATAATAGATAAATAAAATTTCACTTTAAAAGGTAAGTAATAATTTTATAAAGACACCCTTGGAACTGTACTTTGCCTGTAGGGTTAAAGTTATGATAATAGTAAACCAATGTATGCGGGGCTGTCTTGAGCTAAATTTACCTTTTAACGATAAATTAATAATATAACATATTAAAACCAATCTTAAACTACAAATCTAGTATAATTCAATATCATATAAATTTTATATTATTGTAAAACTAATACCACTTTTTCTTTCTATTAACATTTTAATACCTTAGGAACTATACTCTTTTAAATGTATTTAATCAAAGTTAAGGAGGGGAATCTTCATGGACATAGTTGACTCCCATAAATCCACCTTCTACAATTAAAAATGGTCAAATTGCACCCTCCATAATACATAAGACAGTCTATTATTCCTCATAAATCCATTATAATCCAAAATAAGTCCACCTTTCACTATCCACAAGACAATCACCATTATTTCACAAAAATAAAGATTCATAAAAAAGTTAACGAATAAACAGGGGAAGAGTATATTAAATAGAGTAAGTTTTTTCTTCTTTAACCTTGGTTAATGATCTGGAAAAATTTATGTACCCAATTTCACGATACAAAACCCACCCTGTGGGAACGAGGAATGACTTGCAGTTCTACAAAAATAAGTATATAAACTAGTGTAATTTTTAAAAAATGACTAGTCTGTTGGTAGCTATTTAAATTGATATTAAATGGATGTCACCGCTTTTTGTTTTCTCTCTCTGACCTACGTGCAATATTTACGTTTAGCAGAACCAAAATTGTGTTATTAGGTTTAATATTAGAGTGAATTGATCTATTATATGATTTATAGAGAATAATATTTCGGAGAAAACTTCATCAAGGTTTTGTATTATTTTAAATATGCAGCTCAATATAAAAGATATAAAAACTATAATTATTTTTTTACTTTTTTTAAACTATAACTTTTTTAATATTTTAAATGACACTGATGAGGTTCCCTCTGAAACATTGTTCTACATAAATTTCATAATAGGCCAATTCATTCTAAAACTAATGCTAAAAATACACATAACATTTGCTATGTTACACATCGGTCAGAGAGAGAAAACAAATAGTGCGGTGACATTCTCTTAACTGATAATTTAAATAATACTTACTTACTTGAATTAATTTTAAATAACTAAATATACCTTATGCAGTAGGTAGTATAATTATTTAAAAAAGTCACAGTGCAGAGTCCGTAGAATCTGTTTTAGAAGATTTTATTTTAGGTGCTGATAATCAGGGTCGATTTGCAAATTTTAAAAATAGACTTGAAATTACTTGCAATTACTGAGAAATGTTTTGATACTGGTTTTGAGTAGTTAAGGTTTACGTGAAGTTCGCCCTTAATTCAGTATTTTTTGTATCCAGATAAAACTGCAGACTTGCAAATTGTATCGATTGACTTGCAATTACTTACAAATGACTTGCTAAATATTCATTTATATTTTTAATTATTAGAATTTAGTCAGCGGGCCAAGTTCACACACATAGTAAATTGACCAAAACTTTTATTGTTCATTTGCGCATGTGGGTGTGTGGTTTTTTGTTGTTTTTGTAATTTTCGCTAAAATTAAAATATATACAAATAACACGACGACGGTGAACTATTAGACATTTTTATGACCCTAAAACAAGTCCAGAGTATAATACTGGTAGTGTTGAAT